TATATTTTCTCGTTTGGTTTACTAATTTTTGACCAATTAATAAGCATGTTTTTGTTTTAGAAATTGATATTCAAATTCCCCGCCATATTTTCATAATTTGGTGCATGCGCAGACGTTTTTCCGCGGTGTTTATTTTAGCTAGGATTTGTTATTAGATATGCGCAGTAATAGTGCGCAATGCAAAAGCGGGGTCACACATGATCAAAGGCAAGAGCACCTTGATCATAGAGCGACCTGCAGAACGCGTGTTTTATAGCGTCCAGATATGACTATAGTTCTTATTGCCCTCGCTAAGAAGCTTATATAGAGTTTTAGCCTTGCCAAAAATCAAAGAGACAGTTTTGCCAGTTTCGTTATGATTTAGATTAAAATTTACCATGCAATGTTAAGCAAACATTTATTAATCTAATCTTGACCAAGCGTGATGATCTTTGAAGTTGAATTAATATACAAACTATTTACTATTTAGACATTTAGTTTAGTTTATTTTATAATTATATTTCAATCATCTTATTTCGATTCTGTTGAGAGCTATTAGGCATGCATGTAAAAATATATCGGTTATTTATCAGCGCTCGCATCCGTGGCCAAAATTCTTGGCTATTCAGATGAAAAGAGGACGTCGAAAATACTATTCCATACGATTGCTGCGCGATAATATATGAACATTTTCTTCCGTGCATCTACTAAAGTTGATTCGGTAAAAAAATCCGCCCGCGTGCACGGATGTTTTTATTGCTATTGCATGATGATATTGACGAATATGTAGACACTTCCCAAATTCGCTGGCTGGCAATGAAAACTAGATTCAAAAAGTTTATTTTGCTTTCCAGTTCTGTTGTCAGTAAAATTGATCTTTCTTCTCACATGATATGACTTGAACAAATATCTACCCGTGTTGACCAAATTCCCACCTGTTTCTTTAAACGTGTCAACAAAAAACATTTGTTGATAATTTCTTTTGTTTGCTAACGTTATTGAGTGGAGAAAGAATAAAATAACCAGTTTGGATTGAGATAAAGAAATTTTTTATTTTCTTGCGAAGAATGCGAAGTAAAGACCGAGGAACAAAAGGAAAGTTTTCAATCAGTTATTGTTCATCATGTTTTTATTCACTATTCCAGCCATTTTCACCGACTAACTCTCGCCGTGATGGAAACACGTTGAGTCTTCTCTACCTAATCTGTTTAACAACAATTGGAGTGGTCTTAAATATTTCAAGATGGCTTCAGAAAGATCGTTTCTCAAAGACAAATATCGTTACCCATGACCACATTAGTGGTTTTTTAATGACATGTATTCTCCCTTCACTTATATGGATGTTGTATTACACGATCAAGAGTCCTTGCAAGTCTACAGTGGAATTTTTAGATGCATCAGTGTATTATCAAGATCCGTTCATCAGCGGAGTTTATTTCTTTGGGACGGGCAGTATATTCCTTCACGTTTTACAGATTGCGTTTTATAGCGAAGCTAAAATAGAGATCATCAGCTTGTTGTTTACTGTTTTTAGCGCTCTATTCACAGCGACACAAATTGTGTTCCTACGCAAATATTCTAAAGCTAGTTTCCAAGATGATTCAATGATCCGCATGGCCTTACTTCATCTTCTCTCAACCAATGTTATCTTATTCTGTCATACGTTATTATCACAATCACATCATGGTGCACGCTTTCATTCTATACACGAAAACAAATCACTCCCTATTGGCAAAGTTTTAAATCGCCTCTATCCCTTCCTATATCCATTCCTTATAGAATTCCCATTATCCTCACTTGGTGCTATATATAGACTGTGGAGTGATCTTAAGGAACTGGAGCCTAAACCAGATGATATCTATATCGACGATGAATTGACTGAAATCAATACAATGGACTCAGTAATTCTGGAGCCTGGCGAGAAATTTCTCAATCCTGAGAGAAACACCAGAAAACCATCTAGTCCCATGAGTCCATTTCAGTCACCAAGAATACGGAAATCTATGAGTAATGTTATAATACAACAGAGCAAGTTTGATATCATGAGAAGATGTGTAGGTTTGGGATTATTATTTGGTGTCATTTTATCTGTTTTCTTTCTTGCTATTGTTGGAGTAACCGCAGTACATACATCAGCACTGACAGTTCGTATATTTTATTTTACAAATATGCTGTACCTAACATTCACATGTGTTTCATGTTGGATAATTCTCAAGGGATTACTCAGCCAAATGTACTGTTGGTTTGACTATGGTGCTGTTGATGTGATGTTACTGTTCTCACTCATAGCTGTACTGTTCCATCAAGGATTTACCTTCACTGCATCTATAGCTCAAATATACATTGCAGCATTACCACGATATATGTTGATTTTATCAGGCTTGGAGATTATGCAATGCATGCTGCAAACATCAACAGTAATAAGAGCCTTGCGTTTTCGTATTGGTTATAAATCAAGCTTGGTACGCGAAGCATCTCTGTTTTTAATGATATGCAATATTATCATTTGGTTACAGAGATCTTTCTTAGTTCCTCAAACACCTTTCCTCTCATTGGTCCAAAGCAAGTTTTATGGCAGATCATCGTGGGATGTGATATTTTTTTTGACTTATCCATTTCAAGTATTTTTTCGCTTCCATTCAACAGTATGCTTGTATAATATATGGTCTGTTTTTAACGAATAGTGGTTAATATCACTGAATCACTCTATATCATTGATAACAAATAAAACAACATATTGTAAAACTCTTAAATATGTTATATATCATAATTTAATAACTTTTGAGGTTTGAATGAAGTTTTTTATTGTTGTTCAACCAAGAAACTGCATAATACAGGGCCGTCTTCGCCTAGATCAGTTCGGGTGTATAACTGAGTCAACTTAGTAAAATGTAACAAATGCAATAGGCATAAATATACTTAGTGATCCAGTGTGTAAGTTCAAAAGTAATGGTAATGGAAGTTCATTACTGTCGTTCCAACTGAAGTGTTCCTCAAATATTGATTCAATACATTACCTCAGGCTGACCAATTCATTTCATCAAGTTCCTCGAGATATTCATACACTTCCTGTGAAAGAGCCAATTCCAAGAATTTGATCATTTCTGGTCACTTCCTTTCTATTTATGATTGGTTAGTTGCACAAACAACAAAGGTGATTGGTGCATTCAAACTATTCAACAGGAAGTTTACAATTATACTGGGAAGTGTATGAATATTTCGAGGTACTTGATGAAATGAATTGGTCAGCCCGAGGAACACTTCAATTGGAACGACAGTAAAACTATAGCCAAAATAGTATAAGTTGTTAGTACGATCAAATACAATAACATTAAGCAAAACGAAACGAAACTTATCTTTGCTGGTTCATCAGAAGTGTGCTCGATTTATTCGTGATGTGTGTGATACTTTTTAATCCAAAAGCAATGTTTGAATATGCATGCACTCCGCTTTAAATTCGCGCTATTTAATTTCGCGAACTCTAGATGTGACATTTTTGCGCAATTTTAATTTCGCCAACTTCCCAGGATGAGTCCGTCAAAAAGCTGATGATTTGTATAATATACTAAATGTTCTGACTATACTGATTGACGAACGCCAATGGCGGACGTCACTTTCCGTACCACACCAAGCGGCTAACACCATCTACTAAATTAGATCAGTGGGTCATAACATCAAGAAATTTTCTATCCTGTAAAACAGACATTGTAACGTTGTGACTACAACAGGACTTACAACAAACTAATGTCCTGTACTGTTTGGACTTATGGCCATTGCGGATCATTGCTGGAAAAAAACAATATTTTCTCTATGCCGTCAATTACACAAAACTCAGTGCATGCACTGGAACATTATGAGCGCAGGTTCAAATCCTGCATGTATTTGTCAAACCTGTCATGTTGTACTATTAAATTCCACGTCATAACCATGATTATGTAGTATTTACTCGTTTTAAGCGCCGTCCTCGATTAAGTGCCGCACATGAGAGAAACACTATTGTCGTATTGAAGAGTGCCGTCCTCGAATAAGCGAGCAATATTATGCACCTATAGAATAATAAAAGTTTAAAGGGGGCTATGCATGTCAGGACGTATTATGACTTCTTCCTGCTTTCATAGAAATTCCAATCCGGCTTTTTGAATTCCGGGTTTTTCCATTTCAATTTCCCGTTCCTCCACTGTTTCTGGTTTCAAAAATAGCGCAATCCATACTGGGCGATATTTTTGATTATCATTAATAATAATAATAATAATAAAATGATATAATGTGCTACTCCTGGTCGCAATGGACATATTTTGAGATGAAATAGAATTCTACTTTCATTCTGTGCCGCCTGTCGTATAATGACTACTACAGAAATATTTGTCAATGGCCTTGTCACACTATTGCGTATTGTACTACTGATATGGCAGCGTATGGAAAATATCAACCATACGCTGCATGGTATGCCTTAGGGGTACATTAGGCATATAGGTTGTATGCGCTTCAAGCACGGTGGCATACGCATGGATACGGCGACGCAGAAATTTCGAGTTTTCCTACTTTCCGCGAGTGTTGATATAACTGGGTATCTATAGGGGAAAATGTTTCATATTTTTTTATAATATAGCACAAAGAAATATATAAATTTTCCGTGTTGTTTTTTGAGTTATGTCAACACGGCTCTTTAGCCAATCAGCGTTCAGAATTTACAACTGCTATATTATAATTTTGCCGTGGGACGTGGTTTATACGCTACTCATATGTTTCTCTCATTTGGTTGTTTTTGATGTTGTTGTTGTTGTTCTTCTTCTTCTTCTTCTTTATTACATTATTGGTCTTGTTTTAGTGTTTTCGATACTTTTTAGTCCAAGGTAGAAAGTGCTAATTTGACAGCAACAATGCTGTATGTATTAATTTTTGTAACACACATTGTGCAAGTTAACATTTGTATTTTGCTCAAATGTGAACAGCATATCCCTTACTGATTTTAAATTCGCGGAAGGAAACGTTGCTTTTTGTTTCATCCTGACAGTTACAAGTACTTATCACCGTATCCAGTCCATGATCGACACGTACGGGTTAGTTCTTATTGGATATATTTAATATGGGTACGATTACTTTTCGCGAACACACAAATTTATTACAACAACGTTAATTACTTGTTTAAAAATTCAGTATAATTAAAATCTAGTCGATAGTAAATGAAAGGTAAATTAATTGGAATTTATAGAGCAAATAATTCTTAACTTCCAAAAACGGTCAAAAACGGTAGAAAAATCACAATGTGTCATGCGAAATAATCAAGCTCGCTTACTCCTTTCAACCAATATATTTGAATATTAATGTCTTGAATAGAAAGCGAATCCAAATACTGGAACCACAAAAGTAAAATAGCAACTGAAACAATTATATTCGTCTCATATGATCTACCGACGTTAATATATTGGCTGTCAAGATACAGAACTTACGTGACCCCACTTGTGACGTAATGTGCATATTCTCAATAATCCAAGATGGCGGACAGCTCATTGCTTTCAGTCAAAATATTTCAAGAATCATGCAAGATATGGAACATCTGTAACAACATTTTACATCATTTTAGAGATAATTTGAAACGTTCTTTCAAGTGAGACAATAAATTTTTTGTTGCCATTGTCCTTTAAAACGAAAACAACTTGCACAAAAACAATACCCACCGCTAACTTCCGGAAAGTATGTCACCTTGGCTATAGATTGCCACGATTAACTAATGTCACATACACAGAAACGAGGCTCCGTATAGGTTCTATAACTGTCTGTAAGGGTTATTAAGTAACTTTGTAAATCCTAGTTGTTGTATTCACGATGTGCAGAACTTACTCTCAATTTGCATAGACCTTTTATCATATCAAACATTACATATACTGTATTTTGGTCTGGGATATAAACTCAGTTCCCATAAGACATGAGATCAAACATGCAAGAGCAGCAACAATATTTTCCAAAAATAATATCAGACGAAGAAAACATGAGAAGTGCAAATAATTGGCAGCCTCTTTTCTATAATTATATATATATATATATATATATATATATATATATATATATATATATATATATATATATATATATATATATATATATATATATAAACATTTTTACAAGCGTAGACTTCCGACCATCGTGTACAAATTTGCTACTACTTGCTGATATATACAGTGCAGGTTCTATAAGAGACAGTCTTCAGAGAGATCAAGGAAAAACGAAGATCAATTTATAATATCGAAAGATTGAATTCGGTCCAGAATAAAGAAATAGAAAGTAGAAATAGAACATAAAAGAAACAGAGCCAAAAACAATGAAGATTTTAGGAAAGGAACAACAGTTATATCGAAGAAGGATTAACAATTTATAGGAACATTAGATTCTACTAAGTGTTAATGTTTTTATTTAGATTTTAGTTTCCGATTTTGCTTAGCAGGTCCACATTAGCTTATATTAAACCGCCATCTCTATTTATCTGCATAATCAAATAGAAAATGTATGTATCCCATGCAATGCCTAAAAACTTTGTGTTTCACAAGCTACATACAACATTTGCGTCCGCGTGTTATATCAGATATACAATCACTTGCCTTTGGACCGTGTTACAGATCTCATAGAACACGGCCGCTCACGCTGCATATACTTAAAGTGGAAAATTTCGTATTATGAAACTGTCTGATCCATTGTGTGATTCTATTATGAAACTGCATGCGTGATTTACGATTACCATTTTATTACTGAAAGTCACTGTTCTGCCGACACATGATGGGAAACAATTGCGAAAAAGTCAAGGAAGACAAGTTGATAAGCCAAGCTCGGAAAGACTTTGAGAAAACCATCAAGGTCTTGGAGCAGAAGAAAACAACTTTGGAAGAATATCTAATGCAGCTTGATGATTCTAGAAAAGTTGTTTGCGACGAATCTCGAAATCGAGCTCTGGCAGAACAAGCCGAATTATACACAAGAGAAATTTTGCGTGAGGTTGAACAATTAGACCCAAGATTCAAGAGCACTTTTATGCAATCAGGTAGCTTTTACGACGAAGTAAAAGTGGGGTTACCAGATGAATACGATTACATGGCCAAACTAGAACTACTGTCCAAGCCAGGAACTGCAAAGGCAGTGCCAACAAAATTGGGGTTTGCAAGAGTAATATTGGAAGACGAAGAAGCGATAGACTTCTGGGAGGAATTTCTGTGTGAAGACGTTGATGAAGACAATGAGGAAGTATTCGAGAATGTTCTAACAATCAGCAAGCTTCAAGAAGAATTTCGCAGTCTTGTCATGAAAGCCATAAAGTCCGTCAAGATGCCGAAAAAATGGCAGCGAGATCCTTGTCCCGAACAACACGGTCCATGCGCCATGCTTGAGTTTTTAGTAGACGATTTTTTACCAGAAGGTCAGCTGTATATCTCGATAGACTTAGCGCCATGCATTACCTATCCGAACTACAAATATGTTAAATTCCCTTTTCATAAGAATCTGAAGGAGGACAGTTCTTTTGCCTTAGTGCTTGCGCAAATCGTGGCGAACGAACGCGATGTCCTGCTGGTGCCATTCGTCAATGACGGACTTAAGAAGGAGAAAAACCACACCTGTTTGTATCGACCGTCGTACCGCGAGCATATGCGAGTGTCATTTTCCTTGGTAGAAAAAGATGTATTTGGCCACTTCACTTGCAACAGCATTGAGAAGCGAGTGCTGCGACTTCTGAAGATTTTAAGAGATGTTCACTTGAGAGACGATGGCAAGAGGCAAGAATGGGAAGAACCAATGCCGGATCATCCACCTTCTACTCAAATTCAGGTAACTGAATGAAACAAATTTTATTATTTATTTATTTTACAAGTTTGCCATTATTAAAAATATAATCTAACTATAAACTAGAGGGCACTCAGAAACTGCATACCTCCGCCCGCTACTCGGAAGTGAAACGCAACCTTGGAATTTCCTGAGAAATACACTTTGCAATTCTTGAGCATAAAATATTTTAGGCCCCCGCAAATTGAAATCGAATTGCTAATAGATCATATTACTGTTGTTGTACTGTACTTGTAAAATAAAAACTTATGTTTGTGATGTTACTCTGAGTGCATATCCACACCGGCCACATTTTTCGAGCGCTCGCCCGGTGTGGATATGCACTCAGAGTAACATCACAAACATATTATTCACCTGAGTACACAACACCAGTACAGAAAAAATAAAAACTTATTAAGTGTCGTTAAATAAATGCATAAATTATGCTTTATGCACTCGCGTGTGCAGTAATTTTGACAGTTGTGCTATTTTAAATTCCCAGACACCTAAAATCTTTTGTCCTTAAAACAATGTCGATTTCTTGGGAAATTCCGAGGTTGCGTTTTTTTTATACACCCTGTATTGAAGTAATCTAATGTTATTAGAATTTGAATGGACTGGCACTTTGCTGAACGCAACAATGCGTAACTCCGTAAGCCTTGTTTTAGACATTGAATTTCGGTCGCAACTAAAGCCCGCCACACACGAGCGCACTTGTCGCGCGTACTTGTTATTCGTGACAAGTTGGATCGACAAAATTTCCTCGTGTGCGGGCAACATTTACGGCATTTTCGTCATTCGTGACATGTAAACCAAATATCAAACATGTTTGATATTTTTCGTCATTCGTGACAAAAAATTCTCGTGTGCGGCGAGCAAACGACAAGCGCGCCTGAATAGGAAAATTTGCGCATGCGTGCAACTTGCAGAATTAAAAACAACATGGCGGATCAAAATCACGAGCTCGTGATTTTGATCCGCCATGTTGTTTTTAATTCTGCAAGTTGCACGCATGCGCAAATTTTCCTATTC